CGGGAGGAGGGGTTGTTTATGGTGTGCCCATTTGGACAAAATACCGGGCTTGAGAGAGTGGGTCGAACTTTTGGAACGGCGCAGTACACCATGTTAGCAAATCAATGCGTTGGACCCAGTCCTGTGCATTGATTTATGGAAACAAGATAATGCACCGCGTGCCTTCGAATGTGTGCCAGTGGACTCTGATCAGAAATCAATGCACAAGTAAGTCTCTGTTGCTGAAAATCAATGCACAGGCTCTACCTTTTTCACCACAAGAAGGGGGGGGCGAAACGGAAGGACAGATGGGCTGGAAGCCCTGCAGCCCTTAAGCTCTTCAAGGCTACACTCAAACAACCCAAGGAAAAAAGAGAGGTGTAGAAGACTTGAAACCAGAAGTCACCTCAGCCGTGCTCAGTAATGTTGGCCTGCTGGCTAGCCAACTAGTTTACGCTTGGGCCACAAGTGTCCTGCGCTGCGATTCAACGAAACTAGCCGAGCCTGAACGCCTTGAGCCAAGAGTCTTGAGGATGCTTAAAGTCTAGGGGAATAAGGGCAAACACCAGAAAGAGGTCTCACAGAAAACATCACAAGAATTTCAACCCTTGCAAGACGGACTTGACTGCACTGACATGTCAACTGAAATGCGCTCCGGTCTTTTTCTTAAGATGTGTAAATGACTGGCTTCAGAGTCTAAGCTGCTGAAATGCCACTACGGCGACTTGCAAGAAAGTGAGGAACTATTTCATTATACGGAGACAGGCAGGGGGTTGTCAGCCGCCTTGCGGACCCTGGCCTGTCCCCATCTGACGCAAGCCAAAAGGCGAGTTTGTATCATTAACGTTTGGCCACTCTAGGAAGCTTTGCTTTGCGGCGCTCCACGTCGAAGGTCGGCGTGAGAGTAGGACTTCATTCACCGTGGTAGTGAAACGGCCATTCCAGATCTCCTAGCCCACTCTAGGGAGGGCTGGGTGGGTCTAAAAATTTTTGACTTAGGCCAAAATCTCGCAAGAAGACAAGGTCAACTTTTCTCAAATGCAGGTAACAAGCAAATGAGTGCAACTCAAGACCGAAGTTTCAAAACGATAAAATCCAAGTCAGGTTTTTTCCAATCCTCAAGCACACTGCCGGCATACAGGAGATTCCCCGGCGCAAAGGTAAAACCCTGCAAGCCCAGGCGGGGGTCGGGTCAGGGAAGTTGCCAAGGGGGGTGTTTGGGGGGGGGGGTCAGGTCATGGGAGGAGGGCCAAGGGGCAGGGCCCAGGCTGGGGAAGGGGACAGGTGTCGGCAGTTGTGGAGAAAATGACCGGCTTAGCACAATCTTTGACCCGCACCGGTTCTTCTACCGTTGGTTGTGCCTACACGACAATTCCTTTTGTTTCAAAATCAACAAGGACTTGTGCTTTTGCCACCACCACCATCACCACATCATCGGCAATGCCACTGATATCATCTTAAAATACTACCCCGTTTTTTGCTCCTGATGCAGTTGTTGTCGTGGTGTTTGCTCTGGTCATTGCTTCTGCGGCTTTTGCTCCGCTGCTTCTCCCCTTCCCATCACCATCACTACTTCCACTGCTACTGCTGCTGCTGGGGTTATTGCCACTATTATTACAACAACTGATGTTGTTAAACGCCAGGTGCTTGCGGTTTATGACACCCCATTGCTAGGAAAAAGAAGAAGATCGCTCGGGGCTAGTTTTGACACTGTGCAGAAGCGACCAACAAGGACCCGTGGACTCTGCCACATGTTGAATTTATGTTGAGGAATTTCCTATTTGCTTGGTATTTGGGGTACTTGCAGCATGGTGTGCCATCCCGTTTTTCGTTGTTCTGTTAGTCTATACCAAGTGTTGCCTTCTGCAATATTTTTGAAGTGCTCGAAATGAATATGGCCACATGTTAATCATGGTACAATCGAAACAACTTTGATGCATGCGACATTTTCGTACTGTTGTTTCCAGATGCCCCCGCCGAGATACATTCATAGCAACAGTTCGGATCTTCATACGTTATCCACTGATGGATCCATTTGGAAGGCGTTGTGATGGGGTGCCCATCAGACTTTTACCGGCCACGGCAGCGCGTGAGTCCTTGGTTCTTCATCGGGTAGTAGCCAGGTACATCTACCACGAGCGCCAGCTCGGTGGATTGTGCGGTTGCATGCTGAGACTTTGATTGGCAGTGGTATGGCCTGCAAGCAGCTGTTGCAAGCTTGCAAGTTCCAAATTGACGCTATTTGGAAAGAATCCAGGCGTGCACTGCCTCAACAATCTGCTGCAGGCAATGTGGTGTTTTGCAAAGGTTGATGTTAGTGCGATCTTGCCTGCTGGTGGTTAAAATTGCTAGGTGGATTCAGTTCCTTCACAGTCTTCACATGTTTGCTGGAATTTTTAATCCATGTCTTCCTGCAGGGTCCAGTGTTTGGTCCTGGAGATTTGGCGGAGATAGGCGTTCATCTCGATCAACAGGAGCGACGGACATAAGCATAGTTAGGATATGTAACTGAACTTTACAAAGGCGTTTCACATGCATTCATTGAGCATTAGCCACGTCAGGAATACAATCCAGAGTACCAGTGAGTTTGGAGTTGTAGTATGACATCCAGGCGTAAGCTCAAGACTGTTCAGCCTTGATCAGTGGGGATAGACATGGGGCGTCAAGACAATCACCATCGACTTATTACAAGGCACTCCTATACTCCTATTGCACTCCTTAGATGCATACATATGTATGTACACAATCGCCCTCTGTCTCTTTTTTGCTGTAACTCCTGTTATTTGTGTTTATCTCTGGTTTTTGTTCTGAAATACGCTTCTCATGATGCTAGCTTACTTATGTGTTTCAAAGACGCTTCCAAGCACACGTGCATCCAAGCCTCAGAGGTGAGCATGCTCTCTTTTATACGTTAGCTTTCAAGTCCCATGGCTTCAAAGAGAACTTGACATTCCATGATTTTGTCTGAAGGAGCGCGCGTTGGTGAGGTCGTACAGTTCGCAAAGCCAAGGCCAGGAAGACGTTGTGCCTGTGTTATGGAAAGTTGTTCTATGGGAGTGTTGAACTTCACTTCAAAGAGAGATTTCGTCCGGCTTTCAGCTTGGGATAGCTCTGGATCCTGAGACGTTCAGGCGGTGCTGGCCTGGAAGGACAGCCGTACAACGCAGTGGACTCACAACAGAATCATGGTGTTGAAGTGCGCTTATTAAATTGATAATAGACGCCTTGAGATGCAAGCGAGGTCGACAGCTCAGCCGATGGAGGGAATTTTAGCATTCAGGCGAGGGTTAACTGGTTGTGTTCACGACAAGACAAGCTCTGCCTTGGAGGTTCTGACGGTGGCACTCGAGCGATACAAGCTGGAGCTGGTGCCTTCAAGGCAGGGCAGCTGGTGTCATTGCTGTTTCTGGAAACTGCCTGGCCGATGCAGCCCCTGCGAGGGTCTAGCCTCCTAGCCTCTGCCTGCTGTGCCAATGTCACGTAGGATTGGCAGGCCTTAGGCAGGCTAGACATGCCATCATCTTTGCAATCTTCCCAGCAGCATCCTTTTTGACCTCCTTGTACCTTCCGGCGGCCAGGCACCCTGACGTTAAGGACAAAATGCAGGACTGCAAAGCAGCAAGTTTTAACATGGCTGCAAATGTTCTAGGGTTTTAGTTGTCATGTGGCCTTTGCACGGTTCTGAACTGTTTCCTGAGACTGGGCCTGGTGGAGGCAGTGTGATGCAGTTCTGAAGGACCCAGCGAGCGCAACGGAGGCTTTTCTGTGTCGGATCCGCAGAGTCCAAGTTTGGAAAGCGCGTGCATGGCGAAGCTGAAGTCACCAATTCATGTTTGCGAACTTGCATAGGCAGCTAGAGATTGGTGGGTGCAGCTTCTCGTTCACCAGTTTGCACCAGCCAGTAGGCTATATCATGTTCCAGCATCACCCCTTGTGGTCGGTAGAGTTCATATGGGTATACATGTAAAGGTAGGTAGGTGGTATGTATGTATGTATGTATGTATGTATGTATGTATGTGTGTGTGTATGTATGTATGTATGTATGTATGTATGTTAGTATGTGTGTATGTGTGTATGTGTGTATGTGTGTATGTGTGTATGTGTGTATGTGTGTATGTGTGCATGTGTG